AAAGACTATTTGACTATATTTAAGAGCAGGTCCTAGGAAGAAGACTTGAAAGAGACGTGAAAAAGGTTAGAACTTATGCGAATGTTGGAAGAACAGAACACCAGCAAGGATAGAGTTTATATACATTATAACATCACAACTTGGTCTTTCTCAAGGAAAATTTAAATACTAAAATTCAAGGATAACATCTCTGTTTTCCTTCTGGGTGCTAGGCCAGTATTCCAGGTCAATCCTTCAATAATTTTGTTTCAAGTGACGCAAAGGCAAGCATGACAAGCAAGGTTAGGAGATGGGCACATTTTGTCCATCTTCTTACATCCGGCAGCTTCCCTTGTCCAACTCAACCAGCACAATCTATAAAGGAGCCCTCCATTTGAGTCTTGTCATGTACCTTATCTTTGGTGGATGTTGCTAAATGGTGTCTTTAGGACACCAGGTGTAATTCACTTCCTTTAATGAGCTAGTTTGTCAGTGTACTTGCTTCCAGGATGCCTCAGAGAAACTTCCTGACACTCTTGGCTATGTAATGAATGTGCCACAGTGGGAAGCTATGAAGAAAGGTACCGGGGATCTTTTATGTTGGGGAGAGCACTCTAGGCTGCTGCTCAATACCCAGGAGATTCCTACCATGTAGGAGAATGAGAGCTAATATTAAACAGTTCCATTCTTTCGAAGTGAGAAAGCCACATGTGGTTCCTATGATGATTGCCAGAAATATTAATGCAGATAAAAGGGAATGACTGCTTATACTTTGGGAAATATTAGAAGTATATCCATCACTCTGAACTTTCATGGCTATTATTAAAGCAGCCTCCCCCTCTCCCTGTATTGAGTCATCCTAACATAATGAGTTAAGCTTGGGAAGGCAGAAAGGGGTTCAGGCAGATGCATATAATTTCACCACAGAAGGGAAAGCTCAAAGGTAAGATGCATCTAACATTCCCAGAATGATAAAAATGTGTCTGTGTTGAGCAGGTTAGTCAAGCCAACTGATAATACTTTCTCATGGTGGATGTGAAGATCTGGGAAGAGTTGATGTAAAAAAGCGTACAGGAAAGAACAGAAAACAGATTGCTCAGTGACCTATGCAATCCTCCAATAGGATTAATTCTGGTTAATTCTGACTCAGGCTACATTTAAGGTTATTCTTGTCTTCAGTCATCCAACACAAGCCTGGTTATGAAGGATGCATGCAAATCCCCTTAGGATGCTTCTGCTGAGACATGTACTCCTCAACCAGCAGTGTAGGCATTAACATCAGCTGAGGTCTCCAGAGACTTTGCTGATATATGCCAACTGCTGAAAGACTGCCCAGAATCAAATTATTGTAATGAGCAAAGGGTTGTTGGAAGGTTACCATTTGAGAGACACTAACATGTATTTCTCTGTTCAGTTTTTACCCCAATTCTCCTAATATCCAGTAGTTTCTGACTCATGGTCTAGTAAAGTATAGTGGTTTAGAATACAAACATAGTTCCCTCTTGGAGTAGATCCATCACATTCGCAGGTCGTAGCCATGATACCATGGATGGCACTAACACCCATTCCAAAGTACTTGGTGGACACACCAGAAAATTCTGAAAACATTTCAAGCAGCTTTCCTTCCTGCCTCCAATGTATGCATTGTCCATGTACTTGCCCCTTCATCTACCAAATATGTGTTTCATGTCTCTGTGTTTCAGGAACTTGGTACACACAAGTGAATTAAAATGTTCCTTGTGGATACATTAATTTAAATCAGACAAAGCATGATATCATCCCACAACTGGATAAGTGCCTCAGAGGACCTTAATAAAGGGATAGGACATCCACTAGCCAAAAGTGGACTACAAAACCCACTCTGGCTGGGTGCAGGTGACACACACCTATAATCCTAGCTACTCAGGAGATTGAGATCTGAGGATCTGGGTTCAAAGCCAACCCGGACAGGAAAGTCTGTGAAACTCTTATTGCCAGTAAATCACTAGAAAACCAGAAGTGGTGCTGTGGCTCAAGTGGTAGAGCGCTCGCCTTGAGCTGAAGAGCACAGGGACAGTGCCAAATCCCAGAGTTCATGTTCCATGACCAACAACAACAACAAAAAAAGTTAGCCCACTGTATAGAGAGTGGCCTTTCATTTAAGACCTTTTGAGGAATGTCTTAAAGTATGAGAAAGACTCATGCATGCAAAGGAGAGGGGAAAGCACACACCAGGGAGAAAGAAATGAATAGGCTTGGAGGTAGGAGGTAGCTTGTATGGGCTTGTAAGGATGGCGGCCAGTGGGAATGACCCACAGGGAGTAACTGTGAGAGTGAGTGATGCAGTCAAACTGATGATGAAGAGGTTGACACAGACAGGCCTGATAGGCTAAAAATGTGAAGCAGGTAAAAGTGGACAGGAAGGGATGGCGTATGGTAGAACTACAAATGCTTCTGAGTCATCACTTTCTTCTAAAATTACTATGAAAACTCATTTTATTTTGGAGATCCATGAGACAGGCAAGCATTATACTTCTCTGATAGTTAGGTGTGGCCAGATGTAGTCACTAGGTCTAATAAGACATGTATTGAAGGCTGGGATGGATCTTTGGACATCTTTTGCTTTCGCACTATATTAAAACTCCTTCTTTCTTTTCCTTTTTCTTATGTGATTTCAGCCTAGAAAAAGAGATGTGATGGCAGGAGCAGCAGCAATTATCTTAGGAAATGTTAATTTCCTATTCATCCAGGAAATGTTAGTGGCAGCATAGAAACCTCTGCCATAAAAGCCTTGATCTCTTAAGTTAGTGCTAATAAACATAGTGCTAATAGTGTGTGTATGTATGAAAAAAAGAGACTCCTCTCTGCTTGTTTAAAATATAGTTTGGCAGAAATTTTTGTTGCAGATGTATGTTCTAGCTAACTGACATACTAGATAATTACAGAAGTCTAGATAACTTGAACTTGAACAGTGGCCATCAACATGAAGAAAAGTAGGCCAAATCAGGCTCAGAGAGACAAAGGATATGTTTTCCCGTCTGTGTGGAAGCTTATAAACTTTCAAGTAAACATGTTGGGTGATATGCGAGTGTATCCAAATGTACTAGATGAAATATGGTAGATTCAAGGGAAAACTCAAATAGTGTAATTCCTTAGAAAGGCAAAGTCAAAGTTCAGTGAAATAAAACCCAAGAAGCAGGTACTCGAAAGTGTGGGGGGGGGAGGGGGAGGGGGTGATGGAGGGGGAGGTTGGGTCAAGGGGGAAAAGTGGACAAATGAAGAGCAAGAGAGGGAAGAATCCAGTCAAGAATCCAGTATGTATCCTACACGATTAAGAAGAGTGAAGGGAAGAGTGGACAGGGGAGGAATGGATGAGACTCTTGAAAGAGGGGACACAGATCAAGATACATTCATAAACTGCTTTGTTACTTATGACAATGCCTATGTACAACTACTTTAAAATGAGAACAAAAGATAACAAAAATATATTTTACAAAAAGTAGGCCAAACAGAGGTAAGCTTATCAGGGTAGAAACAGTACCTCTTGATGGCTAGCAGATAAGGTTTAGTGGTAGGAAAGGAGGTTGTAATATATAGTTACAAGACCCATTAATTTCTCAAGGCTAGTGAGCTGTGAGAGACAGAATAATTCTATTTTTTCCCCTCATTCCTTTTCTTTAAGGACAGATTGGACTCATGCTGGTTATATACTGATTATGTTTGTGAATTTGCTATACAGTACTTTCTGATGCTGCAAACTTTTTTGTATGTATATGTTGGTACTAGGTCTTGAACTCAGGGCTTTACTCTCTTGCTTGGCTGTTTATTTTCTCAAAGCTGGTGCTCTACCACTTGAACCACAGCTCTATTTCCAACTTTTTGGTAGCTTACCAGAGATAAATGTCTCACAGACTTTCTTGCCTGAGCTGGCTTCCAACCATGATCTTCAGAGCTCAACCTCTTGAGTAGCTAGGATTACAGGCCAGAGCCACTGGCATCTTGCTAGAAGCTGTCTTTTGACAACAAAGTCACATGAGATACTTTCACATTGAAGATTCTGACTTTTCACACATCCAGCATCCCATCCTAACAGACACATCATCCCTAGGATTTACAATGATGAAAGAAGTGATAGGCATTTTGGCATATTATATCCCTGTAAACACTACTTATCCCCAGAATGAATATGTAAATCCTGTAATGTCGCTATAGTGTGTGGTCCATGCACCTGGTACAGAACGGAGTGTAGCATTGTCACAGTGTCATTTAACAGTTTTTACCAAGTGAAAGAACATGGCAGCTGAGATGCATTATGCTACTCTGATGTTAAGTACAGACACAGACAGAACTCCTATAGAAAAAGTAGACACCTTTTTTTTTTTTTTTTGAATAGAGCCCTGGGTAATTACCTTGACTATTGTTCTATGAGAAAGCCCCATTTACGCTCCTTCATCAATTTAGGATCTAGACATGAAAAATCACCACATTAAGTAGTTAAGGCAATTTGCTTTCCAAATGAAGAAAGGACAAAAGTCTCTGCTTCTGAGCAACCCAGGGGAACAGCTAACGCTCACCTCGTCAAATAAAGGATCCTAAAGAGAAGTGTTGAGGTTTTTCTTTTTAATGGTACCTTCTTCCTAAACAGAATCCCAAAGACAGGCTTTGCTTTCTACTGTCAGACCCTGGAGGACCTGCAGGGCAGTGGGGACAGCCTGCAGGTGAATGGTGACCCATCCTGAGATGTGGAATGAACTGTGGTAGGTATGGACAGGCTGTCCTGTCCCGGGGGCCCGGCATGGAGTTCTTAGGAAAAGCTACAGAAACATTGCTCACCTTGAGAAGTAAGCTCTCAGGGCAGGGTCCGTGCTCTTCCAAGTACCACAGAACATGAGACAGGTTATGAGATTTGCCATTCAATATGGAGTAAAAAAGTGGGAGGTTATTGAACTACTTACCCCCAAATAAAAACATAAACGAATGCAAAAAGAAAGGCAAAAACCAAAATCACAACAAAAGAGATGGCCCCCAAAATGTTCACTTACATTGAGTGAGGATCCCAGTTAAGGCATTTTTAAAATTCTCCTTCGCTTCCTCCATCTCTTGCTCGTGGGTCGCTTTTTCGTTCATGAGCCTGCGGACGTGGCTGTTGGCTGACTGAACCATGGAATAGAACTGGTTTGCTGACCGGCGGTTCACTTCCCCTCGTTCTATCCAGGAAAGCAGCACTGTGATTGCCTCAGAAAACTTGCTGTCATCTGCAAATGGAAGACCAGCAAACACAAATCATGCCAAGGCAAGAAAAAAACGTAGATACTTTTGGATCCTCTCAAAAGACAGTCCAGCCCACTATGATAGCTGCACTTGTTAAAATGGACAAATTCACTCTCCAGAGACTAACTGCTTCACCAGTGTTTAATTTCTCTCTTCTCTAATTTGTGACTTTGTGGAACCACCCTGGGATTCTTGTTCTTACATGCAAAGTCTGAAGGCTCAGTTACAGAAAAGTTGTTCTGGGCATCTTAGTAATAAGCTATAGTCCTGGTCTCACACCAAATCTTGATTACCTTCTTAAGGCCTATTTGGCCTCAACTATGTTCAGAAATAGGATGTGATGTCAGTTTTCTGATTTATAGAATTAGTTGATTTAGTGTCAAAATGTGTCAACAGACTAAATTGCTTTCAAGCTGATTGTAATGTGAGATACTCTTCCTAAAGCAGGCTGTAGGAGAAAATTCTTTCTTCTTCTGCTGTAGTTCAATTCTGATTTCATTTTAGGGTTAAAGTGACATGTTTTAGGAGGCTGCAAAAGAGAGGATTTCCTTGTTTTCCACAAAAGAGGCCATGCACTCTGAGATGGTCTGTGTTTGCTTTGCATGGCTGCTAGAAAACCCATTTGAACCTGGTTTGGGGTGTGTGGGGAGAGGTAGAAAGAAGAGAATGAAGTTTCCTCCACCTGTAAGTCAGTGATAAAGTTTACTTCAAAGCCAACCAATAGACTTGCCTGTTTGAGAACAGTTGTGGCACAGACCTGTGTTTTATGGCTTGAAGGTGGAGAAAACAGGTGTGAAGGTGGTTAAGTTAATTAGAACTGGAAGCTGTCTGTCAGTTATTACAACATTAATCGATTCAGCTACTGCTGAAGGCTCTGTGCATATTTTCCAGGCAAACTTGATGGGAGAAGCCTTCCATTTGTATTTTTCTACCCCTGAACCATATGATTTAGAAAAAAAATCATATGATTTTTTAAAAAAGGGAACTAGGTAAACTTGTAATTCTAATATTCAGCAGCAAAAGTATAATCGAAGATTCAGATTCTTATTCATTGAACAAATACTGAATGTCTTCCATATTCTATGTCCTGTTGGCCCCAGAAAGGACCACTAGACATTCTCCTACATTGTTCACATCTACACACATATACACACTGCAGACAGATGGTCAGAAGGCAATTCATGTTGAATGAAAGAATTTTATTTTCACTTCATAGATTAAACAAAATCAACTATTAGATGGTTACTAATATTGCATTGCCTCATGCTTTGTAAGTTGTATAGGATGCTCTACGTCAGATCTTCAATCTTCTCCCCCAAAGTCATCCTCCCAGATCAGGGCTCAGCTTCCTTGATGGGGCTGGCACTCACACACTGCATGAGAAATGGCCTCATCTTGACTCAGGGTGCAAGGAATCCATTCTGTCCTCTCTAGGCACATAGCAGCTATTGTGGACGGCAGACTGACCAGCCAGGATTTCATATCCTCCACTGCTGCAGCAGTTGCCTTCTGGACTTGAGGATCAAAACTTTGCTCTGAGCGAACTTCCCCCTGTGCTCCCACCCCAGAGCCCAAGGAAGGAAGGGGTCTGGGAGTGCCCAATGAACACCATGCAAGTAAAAGTCCAGTTTCCTTGAAAACCTCAACCCACAGGGACAGAGAACACGTCTTTAGGTTCAGAGCTGACTCATACAATTGTGTTAACTCTGGAATTTTCCGTCATAGTTCAACCCTCGGTGAACTCCAGCTGCAGTGGTTTCTTATCTCATTTCATGGACCAAAGCGGCTTGTATAAGATAAAATCCATCATGCAACTTAACATTACCCTCAGCCCATGGAGAGGCCCATAATTTAGCATTATGTTTCTGAGAGGCCCAGTGCGACCGTTACAGTCAGAATAAATTCTGCCTCCCTCCACGCACTCCGCCTCTCTCCCTGTCAACATACGTTAGGAGAATGGACCTCAGAACAGACAGCAGAAATAAACCTAATGCTTATGAGCAGTCTTTTCTTTTCTCTTAAAAATAACAACCACAAGGAACACTGACTTCCCATTAGACACAACACCAAGGGGGTGGGGGATGGAGTGTGGAAAAAACCCTTGAGAGTTTTGGAGCTTGCAAAGAGAGAGAACATCTTTCATTCCTGGGCTCACAGGTCATTTTCCCTTCTGTTGCTGTGGTCACTAGGTTTCATAGATACATTAAGTTACACACTATACATTAAAAGATGTATCTTTGTTCACATGACCTGAAAACCATACTGTTCTTCTCTTCTAGACCTAGAACGGACATTAAGCATAAGCTACTAGCAGCAGGTTGGAGCTGAGAGTTTTCAGACAGAGGAAGCAACATCCTTAAGGGGTAAGTACTTGAAAATACACTGTTTAAGAAAAAATAAGGAGCCAAGAGATTTCTGTACCACATTATCTAGTACTAGTAAGCAAAATTCCATTTGCTTAAGAGAAGAATAGAGTTTTGAAGATTCTCAACTTCATTTCTGAACTCTTTGAAACTGGCAGGCCTGATGTATGATTGATATACTGGCATTCAAATTAAATTCAAAACACATTAGTCAAGCCATGCTTCGTAAATCCAGTCGATATTTGTTGCCGTGTTAGAAGTGACTTTAATTTATATTAATTAAGACCAAGCCAGTAACTCCCTCTGGATGACTAAGAAGCATATTGAGAGCGGTCATTTTCAATACCCAACTGTAAATTCAATTTTGTATTCAGTGGAAAGATCACTGAGAAAGTGGAAAACAATATAAACTAATTTAAATAGGATTTAGATTGCAGCATTAGTAAGACTACTCATGTGGAAGGAAATTAACACTGCTCATAAAAATCACATCAAAGATGCACTTATAAAAATTCCAAATATTCTCTGTGAACATGCTTAGGCATAACTCTTGACATGTGTACAATTAGAAACTAGAGTGTGCAGATGCAATTTTTCCACAGGAAGAATTGAGGAAATTGTCATATCATGGAGGGAAAATGGACCATTTGTTCATTAAAAATGGCTCAATATTTAGCCAGGCACCCAATGGCTCTCATGTATTATTCTAGTTACTCAGCAAGCTCAGATCTGAGGGACATGGTTCCAAGCCAGCCTGGCAGGAAAAATCTGAGACTCATCTCCAATTAACAACCAAAAAGTAGGAAGTAGAGTTGTTGCTCAAGTAGTGGAGCAAAAAAAGAAAGCTCAGGGACAGCACTCAGGCCTCCATTTCAAGTGCCAGGTCTGGCACACAAAAATATGCCAATTTTTTCCCTAAGCAATTAGGAAACCTTACCACACACACCTAGGTTACTGGAAATGCTTGCTTGCTGGTTTTCCTTTCTTCAGGCCCCCCCATTCCTTTGTCATCTTCCTCTTGTTAAACACCATGGCATCGCCCCTGATTTTGCATGGGTTGTGCTTTTTTCCTAGGGGCCCTCACAACCATGGATTAGCTGACGTTCTTCCTCATGATTCAACTGAAGTGACATTTTATGAAAGAACTTCTCCTGTCACCCTGGTTTGAACTGTGGGCTTTATTGCTCTGTTTATATCATTACATACTGTGCTAAAAGAGTCTCTGTGGGGTGACTGTTGGTTTTCCTCTGTCTCCAGCTTTGCGGTTTAAGAAGAGAAAAACTTCTCAGACATAGTTTAATCTTCTGGTGACGTCTCACATCCCCTTTTGTGGGTTGTATTTTGCTTTATTTATACAATTTAAAAAATTATCTTTAAGTAGTTGTACAAAGGGGTTTCAAGTCAACATGTTAGCTCATGAGTGCAATGCATCTCGATCACTCCTCCCATCTCTCCCAACCCTGCCCATTCCTCAAGATACCATTTTCACATATGTACATTGACTAAGATTTACTTTTCATGGATTGTATTATCCTGAGCAAACAAGTGATTAAAAGTCAGAAAGCATCATAGTTGATAACAACAATATTAGTTTCATGTTAAAAGAGTGTACTCACAGAGTGGACTCATGCTCCTATGGGAATCAAGCAAGCAATTCCCTTTATCCTGAGGCCTGAGCTCATTGTCTCTGGCTGTGAAATACTTAGTGATGCCAGACAGTCCTAGAGTAGTAGAGTCTTTGGCAACAAGGCACTAACCAGCTTATCAAATTATTCACAGATTTTTTTTTGGAAAGCACACTTAGTTCTAGGACTACTACATCATTTGGTTATTAGCTTTATGAGGAACAAGTAGTGGTTTGATGATTATCTTGCTTCATTTCTGGTGCAGACTTTGTCATACTCCCTTCTCTCTCTTTCCCATGTTTATTGAACACCCCACATGTAGTACACATGGAAACATTGCATATAGGATAATCTTTGGTGTTTAAAAACCACATGCATGATCATCCCTGAGAAGCTTGTTAGAAATGCAGACTCAGCCTCTCTCAGGCTCTCTCAGTCCTCCAGACTATGAATCTGCATTTTACCGAAATTTGGCAGCGTAGAAGAAATGACTCAGTGAAAGTCAGGTAAACTAGGAACTAATCTAAGCTGGCAGACTATGAAAGCTTGAAATTGAAAAGAGTATTTAAAATTTAAATGATTTTGTAAGGATTTAATGTGATTCTTAAGAGCTTTGTGAGTCTTTGCCCCTAAATTCCTACTTGCAATGAAAGAATGTCACTCTCATCCAGGAAAGAAGAAAACAAATCCAAGAACCTGGAAACGTGCATAGTCTTTATTGTAAATCCTTTCAAGAAAATACTGGGCCAGGACCAGGAGCCTCTTCACCTCCACCCACAACTCAATGATCTGATTCTATGGAGGAAGGGAGTCGGAACCTTTATTTGTCTTTCACTAGGCTACTTTACAACTCTAGGAAAAATCTCTCTCTAAAAATGTAAATAAATATTTATGTATTAGAAAATAGAAATCTTTGTAAGGAATTTTTTTTGCCAGTACTAGGGCATGAACTCAAGTGTCTTGTTCAGCTTTTTTCATTCAGGGATGGCATTCTAT